AGACTGTGCCAGCCCCTCCTTTACCACCACCCCTTCCTCCTTCTGCACCTCCGCTGCCTGGGACGTCTTCACCCACAGTGGTTTTCAACTCAGGATTAGCAGGTAAGAGCAGAGAATAAGACCCAGGTACCCGTGTGAGAAATACTCATTGGTCTTACTTCCGAGGGTTCAAGCCGTTCTTTCAAAGTCCAGGTCTCTTGAAATGTCATGTCTCTCCTCTTGATAGAACATCCTGCTAAGGTGCCGGCGAGATGGTCATGCTCAGGAGGCCTTTCTCTCTCAGTAGGTTTGTCCCTCTCTCCCTGGCGGGAGGTCTTGATCCTGCACCGTCTTAGCACTTTCCAGGGAAGGGAGAGAGACAGGTTACCTTCTGGGGGTCCGTGCGTTTTCACAGGTTCAGCGGACACGTCTGGACATCTGTCGTAGTTGAAGCTCTGACACAGACTGCTCTGGTGCTTGCGGCTCTTTTATCTTGAAGGTATCTGCAATGTAAGGGGGCACCATGCCTTTCTGTGTAATTGCCTGAGGTAGGCTTGCAGGCATTTCTGAGCATCAGAGAGCATCACAATTCACTGTAGTCCAGTGATGCTTTAAGGGGGAATGTTGCCAACAGCCGCATTAGGATGCCTTGAAATGCTTGCTGATAGTGCACCTCGTCTTCCTGCTGACCAGGACCCAATGTGGCATCCTCACCCCCCAGCCATAAGGCAGGGTGGGTGTGGGCCAGAGGAAGACAGTTCCTCTAATGCCTTGAGATGTAAGTTCTCATCTTCGACTCCGAAATGCATGTTTACTCCTCTCTACAACACTGCAAGCTGTTCTCCCAGCCACGAGTGTCTTCCTGGCATGGGGAGTAGCTCTGAGCTTTGCGGTGCCGTCCCCTTGACATGAGATGATCCCGCTTCCTCATCCACTTCAGTCCCTCGGCGAGGTCTCTCATTGCTGCCGAAGAGCCGCCGCTGTAATATTTTCTCATTTCCAAGGCTGCGGTGGTTCTAGAAGACAGGCAGCCCTAACTGGTTTGGCTCAGTGGATAGAGCGTCAGCCTGCAGACTGAAGGGTCCCAGGTTCGATTCTGGTCAAGGGCATATACCTTGGTTGTGGGCACATCCCCAGTGGAGGGTGTGCAGGAGGCAGCTGATCAATGTTTCTAACTCTCTATCCCTCTCCCTTCCTCTCTGTAAAAAATCAATAAAATGTATTAGAAAAAAAAAAAAAAAAAGACAGGGAGCTGGGAAAGATTTAGCTCTGACACAGACTGCTCTGGTGCTTGCGGCTCTTTTATCTTGAAGGTATCTGCAATGTAAGGGGGCACCATGCCTTTCTGTGTAATTGCCTGAGGTAGGCTTGCAGGCATTTCTGAGCATCAGAGAGCATCACAATTCACTGTAGTCCAGTGATGCTTTAAGGGGGAATGTTGCCAACAGCCGCATTAGGATGCCTTGAAATGCTTGCTGATAGTGCACCTCGTCTTCCTGCTGACCAGGACCCAATGTGGCATCCTCACCCCCCAGCCATAAGGCAGGGTGGGTGTGGGCCAGAGGAAGACAGTTCCTCTAATGCCTTGAGATGTAAGTTCTCATCTTCGACTCCGAAATGCATGTTTACTCCTCTCTACAACACTGCAAGCTGTTCTCCCAGCCACGAGTGTCTTCCTGGCATGGGGAGTAGCTCTGAGCTTTGCGGTGCCGTCCCCTTGACATGAGATGATCCCGCTTCCTCATCCACTTCAGTCCCTCGGCGAGGTCTCTCATTGCTGCCGAAGAGCCGCCGCTGTAATATTTTCTCATTTCCAAGGCTGCGGTGGTTCTAGAAGACAGGCAGCCCTAACTGGTTTGGCTCAGTGGATAGAGCGTCAGCCTGCAGACTGAAGGGTCCCAGGTTCGATTCTGGTCAAGGGCATATACCTTGGTTGTGGGCACATCCCCAGTGGAGGGTGTGCAGGAGGCAGCTGATCAATGTTTCTAACTCTCTATCCCTCTCCCTTCCTCTCTGTAAAAAATCAATAAAATGTATTAGAAAAAAAAAAAAAAAAGACAGGCAGCTGTCAAAGATTTCCCAGCCTGCGTCCCTGAGCATGTCCTGCCACAGCATGCCCAGCCGGTCTGTGGTGCCAACTCATCCTAGTGACAGAAAGCTGCCCACAGAAAACTGGTTCCACACCCCAACTTCTATAAAACTGTCCACGTAACAAACACAGTAATGTTCTCAGGAAACCAGTGACTTACTTTAACCCTGCAAGGTCTTTCCAAACTACCACTTTCTTCTAGAGCTTTTATTGCCTCTGAAGGACAAAAACAGAAAGCGCATCATCGTGGAACTGTTGGCTTTTGGAATATACACAAACCAAAACGCCTTAACCAGCCCCAGGAACCTGCCCCCTCAACAGGCTGTTTTCCATGTGAAAGCCTGTAATTGTCGTGTGCACTGGGCTCACGGATTCGGCTTGGCCCCTAAGCTCGCTCATGTGAGACGTGCCGGCTGTGGTGTCTCTCCTTCGGACCTGCTTCCTTTCTCTCTGGCGAAACTTCACATGTGACGCAGCCTTTGCCGGCACCCACCTGAGCTCCGCCAGGTCTCAGGACTGCCTTGCCGAGAGCAGGAGCCACCAGGCTGAGATGTGGGTCCAGGGCCCTGCTGAACGGGTCTTGTCCTCGCTGGTTCATTTTGTTGCCTGCTCGCTGTGGTGTCTCTCCTTCGGACCTGCTTCCTTTCTCTCTGGCGAAACTTCACATGTGACGCAGCCTTTGCCGGCACCCACCTGAGCTCCGCCAGGTCTCAGGACTGCCTTGCCGAGAGCAGGAGCCACCAGGCTGAGATGTGGGTCCAGGGCCCTGCTGAACGGGTCTTGTCCTCGCTGGTTCATTTTGTTGCCTGCTTAATTTTAAAATGTGTTGGCCTGTTGCTTCTCTCTTCAGCCGATTCCCCACTGCCACCTTTGGAGCTGGTCCCATGGGGAGGTGTCCCCTTTGTGTCTTACGCAGTTTAGAGGACTGTGTGTGGGATTGAACAAACTCCTCTTTAGTGCCCTGTGTCCTCTAAACAATCACTGGATGCTCTGTGTTACAAGATGTAAGGATTGTAAGAACCTTACACGTAGTTGGTAGCTTGAGATCCAGCAGTTTCTACAAGGCCTTTAATCTCTTTTTATTACTCAGCCTTAATTTGGCCGTTCACGCTTAGTGGTGCGGGCCATGTTGTGAGGTGCTTTGCCGGGGTGTTCAGGAGCTGTCTCTCTGGAACCAAGACGCCAGACAGAATCAGGATGTCCCAGTAGAGCCAGAGACAGAGCTGGGATATGCCAAGGGCTCTTGGGAAGCCAGAAACCTGTGGCCACTAGGTCCCTGGATCTGCAGGCCAAAGGAAGTCTGTCCCCGCAACAGGCCATGAGCAAGTGTGCTCTTGGTGGCCGAGACAGGGACCAGGAGGAGGTCCCCTATGTTTATTCAGTCAAGTTTTCGTTGCAGTTTATAGAGGAAATCGTAGTGGTGGGAAATGTGCATTTGAAGCATAAGGCCGACTTCCTCAAATCTGCGATTGATCGACTGGCTCTCATGTCCTAGTGAGGTCAGCGCGGCAGGGCGCTGGGCAGTCGGCACCCTGTGTTGTCTCTGTGGTGGAATGTGCTTTGGAACTTCACAATGAGGGTGTGGACTCCGGCTGATTATTTTTCATTAAAAATTTTTCCTTATCTTTAGGAATATTTAGCATAGTTGAATATGGCTGTTTGGGACCACTATAACGAAATCATTTTTTTCCCTCTTCTAAAGAGGATTATTTTTTAAAACAAAATAAATGAGTCTTCAAGGCAGGCCCGAAGGGGAATGAATTTTGGCTCTGGGCTGCCTCGTGAAATGTGTCCGAGAAGCCTGGGATTCTATGTGAAGAGTGTGCCAGCTGCTGAGCCGCTTGACTCTAACTGTATCTAATGTGTTTTGTATTTTCTTTGTTCTTCCTGCTTCCACAAAAGATGGGCCCATCAAGCTCTTCTGTAGGTTGCTCCTCACTGAGTGTGTTGAGTATTTGCGTTGTGCTCCCGTTGGTCACACCGTGCCTTCCATCTTTCCACTCCACCGTACACTGACCCATTGCATTTTGACTCTGTGTCTGCGGGAAGTCTCGGTGTTGGCTGACTGTTGTCCCAGGTTTGCCCACATGTTTCAGGTGAACCTGTAGAAGAGAGATGATGGCCCTTTAAGCAGACATCCTGGATCCTGTGCCACATTCCTTTCTCCCCGAGGAAAGGAGTGTTTTTCCTTTTAGTTTAATTTTCATAGTTGGGTCTAAGGCCTCAGCTCTTGAAGGACTTTGGGTTTATTCTGGGGGAAAAGAGAAAGCACCACAGAACAAGGACGAGCTGCTGGTGCTGCCTCCCTGGTCTCTGGCTCTCTCCTAGAGCACCTACCCACCCCCTTAGCCTGAGCACTGCATGCCATGGTCACCTACGGAGCTCCTCCTCGGATCATACCACTTCCCCAGAGTCAGGACAGCCTGCCCTGAAGACTTTATTGCTTGTCTTCTGATCTCAGGCTTATTAGAGGCTTATTACTCATCTCGCTAAAAAGTTAACAAATAAGGTGGCTGCCAATGGAATGACCTGTAGTGAGTGTCCGGAGGCCACAGTGCCTGTGGAGGGATGCTGGAACCAAACGTCCCTGGCCTCTCACCAAAGATTATGGTCAGCTCCCCGCACAGCCCCTTCCCTGCGCCTTCCTCCTTCCCCTCAACGTCACCCAAGTGCCAGCCCAGAGAAAGGGCTGTTCCTGTGTCCCAGGTTCCTGGGCAGCGTAGGCAAAGGATGCAGAGTGGCGAGGAGCCTGGCACTGCTGGGCAGTAGGGCCTGAGGTGTTGCACTTGGGAGTGGGAAGGCCTGGTGTGGCAAAGCTGTGTTTCTGTGTCCCTGCATGCCTTTGTGTCAATGACAGATGACATCCTGCTGTGGATTATGTCGCATGTGTAACTCTGGAGGAATGAGAGGCGCTGTCTGCCTCCCACTGAGGCAGGCAGCCAGGTAAAAGCCCAGGTGTGTTTTGCATTTTTTCCCCTTGCGCGGAAGTTCTCCTTTTCTTGCTAATGATGGCAAGTAGCAAAGCTCCCAAGTAGCATGGGGGGCGTACCAGGACATACTTAAGAAGGCGGATATATATAACTTGAATGGCTTGGGAGGACTTCTCTATGATGTGTAATTAACTAATGGAATTTTTAATGGATTGCCTTTTTAGCTCATTTCCCCAAAGTAAGAGGGGTTGGTGCTGCCCCCTTGACCCTCAAAGATAGAGCCCTCCCTCTCTGTTCAGAGGTTTTCAGTGTTTTGACTGAGCTCGTCCATGCCTCTGGTCACAGGCAGCTGAGCCCTGGGGAGAACTTGCTCTTCATGAGGGGGAGGGGCGGGGGCCATTCTCAAAAAGCAGTACAAGTCCTGGTTCCAAGTACCCTTCTGTCTCCTTGAACGTTTTCTATTTTCAGCTACTCATGGCCCTAAGTCTGTTGAAATAACTCGGCAGCCAATATAACCCCCATTTTTGAAATCATCCACAGGAATGCATTGCTCTGGCTGGAAGTCAGCATTCCTGATGCTACATTCCTGGTGGTTCAGAGAGACACTGTCTGTAGTCTCTGGTCATCTTCTGAGATTCGTTGAGAGATACCTGTTCTAGAACCAACAATTTAGGATGTCGAAGTTACACTGGGGCTCGAAATTTCAATCTCAGTCCCCAGAGCAGGTGCCCTCTCTGCTGTCTAATAGCATGACTGATCATCTTTGCTCCCCAGTATTTGTCTTAAGCATTGTCCAAACATTGTGACCGTGATGCGGCAAACCAGTTGCCCGCATTAAAAAGAAAGTCAGCTCCCAGCTCATAGATGACTTGAACACAGTGCTGTACCAGCCGGCCTCAGATTGCTCTGGCCGCAGCCACGTGTGGTGTTTGAACACCCGGGCGCCACCCGCCAGCCTTCCTCCAGGGTTAACGTGTCATCTGCAAAGACTGTTGTCTGATTGCTCTGGAGTGTCATGGGGTCTTGGTGGAATCTTAATTTTGTTCTCTCTGACCTCTGTAGCTGTGAAAATTAAGAAGCCAATCAAGACGAAATTCAGAATGCCAGTTTTTAACTGGGTTGCCCTGAAGCCAAATCAGATCAATGGCACAGTCTTCAATGAAATTGATGACGAGCGAATTCTGGAGGTATCTTTCCTACGGGTTACTCTGTGCAGCAAAGCCAAAATGGGTGTGTTGGTAACCTGGGCATTTTGGTGATTAAAGTGCTGGTGTTTTAAGGGCTTTGATGGAAAGAAAAAAAAGGATATGTGATGTCAGGGAATAAAATTGGAAACTATTTTATAAGGTGGGTTTAAAACTTTGTTTAAAAAGTTATGTTAAATGAAATAGTTTTGAGCACCTTCAGTGTATGTCGTGTGTGTGTGTGTGTGTGTGTGTGTGTGTGTGTGTGTGTGTGTGTGTGTGTGTGTGTGTGTGTGTGTGTGTGTGTGTGTGTGTGTGTGTGTGTGTATCTGACACAAGATCTTCCCTTAACTTATAAAAGGGCATAAAACTCTTTATTAAATTACAAGTGAATGAGGACTTAATAATCATACTCACTAGCTGGTTTGATGGGTAGTTTTAGTCTGTGGTTGCCATCCCTGCAAGCTAATTATTGAAAGGCATTTGAATTGGCTGGTTGGGACCAGTCATCTACTTTCGATTTTCACGTCTGCATATGTGGCATAACTCACACTCGGGCACAAACCAGAAAATAGAGCAGGCCATGGTCAAAGACAGGCATCGCGTGAGTTCTTTGACACTTAACAAACTGTGTAAATGGTGGCTTCCTAACTTAATTTTTAAGTTTAATTCATTCATCTTCTCTACCCCAGGATTTAAATGTGGATGAATTTGAGGAAATTTTTAAGACAAAAGCCCAAGGTCCTGCCATTGATCTTTCCTCAAGCAAACAGAAGATAACGCAGAAGGGATCCAACAAGGTGACGTTACTGGAAGCAAATAGGGCCAAAAACCTTGCCATCACTTTAAGGAAGGCTGGAAAGACCGCCGACGAGATCTGTAAAGCCATTCATGTGTAAGTTCAGGGCATTCTGGGAAACTATATTTCAGTAAAACAAGAAAGTTATGAATTCGTAGAAGACAGAAATATTTTAAGAGTGAGGCAGGATCTAAGATAAACGATGGAGCAATTCTTGATATCCCCACACCAGAGAGTCCCTTTGTTACATCTGTGCAACTTGAGAGCTTAATAAAATGTTAACACAAAAGAGGTGGACGAGAAATTACCCTCGGGAGTGCTGTATTACAAGAGTAATTATAATCCTTTTGGAAGAACAACGGGATCGTGACATTAATTATCTTGGTCGGCTCTCATGTAGGTCTACGGCAAAGCTTCCGTAGAAGGAAAGTTGGATGGAGTATTGCAGATGCTAAGAAAAGGAAGAAATGTCAGTTTTCTCTGGAGTATCTGATTTTTATTCAGATTTGTTGAATACAAATGTGATGGCATTTGTGGGATGATGCCATTCAACGCCAGATGCACATATGATATGGAGGCACATTTCAATTTATAACAATAAGAATGTGATTGCTGTTGCTTTTAGTGCTTTCAGGACATTTTAAACAAAGTTGAGTTATTTTTTTTTTATCCTTGAACAGCAGAGAAGGCATTGGTTTTATTTATTTTTCTCTTAGAAAAATCTTTCTACTCTTCTTATGGTCATGATGACTTTCAAATATGATAAGGATGTTATTAGATGTTTTAGGAACTAAATCATTGTAAATTGACATTTCATAAATTTTGACCAGGGATTCCTTCTGCAGTAAATGGCCCCAAGAAATCATCTGTTCCAATTTTATGTCCTCAGCCAGGATCATAATCTAATAGTCCAGTGCATTCCTCCAGTCTGTTCTGATTTCTGAGGTTGAAACCTGATACATGCTTTGGTTTTTAATTTGTACATGCCTTGTTTGCCATGGTGATTAAATATAATTATATTATTTTGCTGAACAAAGATTGTCCGTAGAACAATATAGAGGTTGTAGCAGATACTTCGTTGGTTCAAATTGAGCATACATCCACAGGGATCTAGTATTCCTTCAAGGGATGTATACACTTAAGCCAAAATATCCCTATGGCACAGGCATTTGGTTGCATTTTTTTCTAAAGAAGAAAATATATTCCCAGTTATTGGTTTAATTGAAATATTTTATAGAGTTCACCAGATATTCTCTAATTGTGTGTACAGTATTAATCTCCCAATTAGCAGTACTTAACATGCCTAAAATCCATGTCCTTGAATGACTTCACCATTGATGCTTCAGCCTTCCTCTGCCTCTTCCCACTGTCATTTACTGCTGATTTCTGGAGGCTTCGAGCTATAGTGATAGCTTAAAAAACTGCGTGTGGGATGTGATGAGGTCCAGGTTGTCAGGAAGGACCAGCGAAGGTGCTAGCTGCACAGTCAGGAGCCAGCACCATGGGCGTCTTCACTGTCCACCTGTGACGCACTGGCTGGGTGGCTCCCGAGCTGGACCCGATGGAGGTGTGGGTGAAAGGGTGGGGGCTTTCTCTCCAACACTGACGTGTCCGCATCTGCCCTCAGCTTTGACTTGAAGACGCTGCCTGTGGACTTTGTGGAATGTTTGATGAGGTTCTTGCCGACCGAGAATGAGGTGAAAGTGCTTCGGCTCTACGAGCGGGAGAGGAAGCCGCTGGAGAACTTGTCGGACGAGGACCGCTTCATGATGCAGTTCAGCAAGATTGAGAGGCTCCTGCAGAAGATGACCATCATGGCCTTCATCGGGAACTTCGCTGAGAGCGTCCAGATGCTCACGCCTGTGAGTGGACCGACTCTGGCAGGGGAGGGGGTCCGAAGAGACACCGAAACCCTTGTATTGGTTGAAGTCTCTCTCAGGATTGTGCTTCGTGTCATGGGCTCTAAAGACTCCTTCCCAGGACTTCCTAGATTCCATTGTTAGTTCGGCCATCTTTTTCATTTTGTGTATGCCAAGTGAATTTGAAAATGGTGACGTTTTCCATATCGCCATTCTCCCTAGAGGATGAATGTGTCCTCTGGATTTTAAAGTCCTGGTCAATTCAGAGGACAAGGAAAAACCATTTTCCTAGCCTTAGTCTCCTCCTGAAGATACCAGCTCTCTGGCTGGGGTGGCAAAGCTGAAAATGTGACTTTCGTTTCAAAAAACACCCCCAATCTTTAGCGAACTGGTTTATTGGCTTCGTTGGAAGCATCGCATTTATCATGGGCATCTTCCTGCTTGGGGTTTGTCACAGTGCACTGTGGTGATGTAGGAAGAAGAGCCAGCCATCTCTTCCTCCTCTGCGTTAATCTGGTGGAGGCTGTGAATATCACAGACATAAATATCATAGAAAGTTCTTTGCCAGTCCTATTTCTGAACAAGCCCTTGTTAGTAACGGATTACAGCGGTACGGATATCTTCCGTCAGAAATCTTCCAAGAGCATCTGGAGGGTAGTTCTGCTCCTTTGCTGTTTTGTTTTCATCATTGAGCAGCCCCATTGATTTAAAATATAAACTGTGTTCCATGGCGAGTGGGGGGCAGGGGGGTGAGCTCTGCTGGAACACGCTGGTGACTGAGTCTCGTGGTCATAGGTTTTGTGACAAGCCAGTTCTGACATTTCTCCTCATTTCAAATACTTTGAGGGAAGAGCTCGCATGGAATGACGTGGTTACCGAACACCCGGCAGAGCACTCACATTCACGTTCAGGAAAAAACAGAATCTCAGCATTGAGGCTGTAAGGTCTACAGGCAGGCCTGTTTTCTTCTGTGTTCACTCTTAGTTTCCAGTTAGAGTATCCCATTTTTAACATCTTTGTTTTTCTTCTCTCCCCTTCCTTCCTTTGACTGGAATCTAGCAACTGCACTCCATTATAGCAGCATCTATCTCTATAAAGTCGTCTCAAAAACTCAAGAAAATTCTGGAGGCAAGTGACATTTCCTTGGTGCCTGGACGGGAGGGCGGGCCTGACAGCCCCATCCTCTGCCCAGGAGCTGGGCTGATGGGCTTCTCTCTTTTCGCTTTTGTTTGCAGATCATCTTGGCCCTTGGGAACTATATGAACAGCAGTAAACGAGGAGCAGTTTATGGATTTAAGCTTCAGAGTTTAGATCTGGTGAGTGGACTAAAAGCAATGCAAGAGCTCTCTGAGGCATAAAACAGCTGGCAGAGATTACGTCCTGGAGCAGAGAGTCTGCTCTTGGAATTGGGCTGGGAGGTTGTGATGAGGATGCTCTGCTAGCGGAGGACCAATCGGTGCACGTGTTCTGGAACAGCGTTTGGCAGCAGGCACTTAGATCCTTAGAAACACTCCTACCCTGTGACCTAGTATTTCCATTTCTAGGAATCCATCCTCAGGAGTCTGAGTGATGGATGCTGTATTTACTCATCATTGCAAATAATTAGCAACATTGTAAAGAGCCAAGATTTGGGGAAATAATTAAAGATGCTATAGCAATAGTTCATACAGTGAACTCTTCTTCAGCTGTTAGGAGACTTGTGAAGAATTTTCAAAGAAGTAGGTAATTCTGTGTTGAGAAAAGAAAGCACGGGTTATAAATGGAATGTACAGATAATTTTCAACTAAGTAAAGTAGGTAGGAAAACCTGAATAGAAGTATGTTGAGATACAGAGAGGATGGATGGAATTGGGGAATTTTTAAAAACTGCTTCTTTATACTTTTCTGTCCTTTCTAAAAATGTTTGGCTTATTCCTGGATGTAACGGGTGCCCTGGCTTTCAGAGCCCCCTGATTTATATGAACAGGAGCAGAGGAAATGCTGCGTGACCCAGCCTGTGCGGGGCCGACGTGGCCTCCATGCGAGGAGGTGGGGCAGTGAAGGAGTCCCCAGCCTGGGCAGCATGTGGTTATTTGATAGTCAGTGTCCCATTAGTTACAGTGCTGTCCCCCAGAAGGTCATGAACTGTTGGGCAGGTCTGATTTGGGTCATGAGAGGCCGGTGATGAAGAGAAGGGCTGAGTTCCATGTGGAGTCTGCAGGGTAGGAGCCCCGCTGTGTAGGGCGAACCTGTGCACACCTGTGGCTCCACACGCACTCCGGCTCTGGGCCTTCACCTGAGAGAGCACTACACCCAGAGTCTTTCTTCCTGCTTTGAAGCCAGAGAGGTGTGGGGTGGGGGAGCTCCTGTGAGTGCAGCTGTGGGGACAATCCTAGGTGCCAGGGTTATCCCTAAAGTCGAGCATATCCCCTGGTCAGGACGTCCTCTAGTCATTTAAAGTCAGCGGGCTGGCTCCTCAAGGAACAGATCCAGGCTTGAATCTCCCAGCAATGTTGCTTGTCCATGTTGGGGCACCTGTACTCCAACATGGAGTCACTGACTCTGGGAGAACACCATCGATGGGTAACTCTCCCACGACCTCTCACTCTAACCCTTACTCCCTTTTGTTTTCAGCTTTTAGATACGAAGTCGACAGACCGAAAGCAAACACTGCTGCACTATATATCCAATGTCGTAAAGGAAAAGTATCAGCAAGTGTCCCTCTTTTACAATGAGCTTCATTATGTGGAGAGTCACTGACTCTGGGAGAACGCCATCGATGGGTAACTCTCCCACGACCTCTCACACTAACCCTTACTCCCTTTTGTTTTCAGCTTTTAGATACGAAGTCCACAGACCGAAAGCAAACACTGCTGCACTATATATCCAATGTCGTAAAGGAAAAGTATCAGCAAGTGTCCCTCTTTTACAATGAGCTTCATTATGTGGAGAAAGCTGCTGCAGGTACTGGACTTCCGCTGTTAATGTTCCTCCTGGGGACTGAGTGGCTTTAATCATGGGGGAGCCATTCTCTGCTTAGCAGACACTCCTCAGAACCTCTCTCAAGAGGCGGCTGAAGCATCCAGCTCTGAGCTGGAACCCATGGGCTATAGTGTGGCTCCTTTCTGGGAGCAGTAATGAACTTGGGCATGAAGGTGACTTCTCTCAGTGTCCTCTCAGTAAAGACCCAGGTCTCTGGGCCTTATGCACCTTCCCTCTTCCATTTTTTGCCCTTTTTATTTTATTGCTGTTTTTTGAAATAAGAGAACGAGAGTCTGAGAATTACCCCTCAACAAACACTTGTATTTTGTGATGGTTCATGTGCTCAGGTGTGGCGGTTCTAAACATTTTGCCTTTAGTCTGAAAACAAGTTAAATTATCAGTACTTCGTGGTTGTGACTTTGCTATGACAGTTATGCATTTTCTCATTTAATCACCAGTGGTTCTGAGATAGCTGCTGTACTAGGCAATCATCTCCCCATGTTATAGATGAGAAAGCTGACTTTTTTAGAGGTTAAATGTCTTGCTCAACATCACGTGGGTCACAAGCAACAGAAACAGGACTAGAACCTAAGTTGTCTTCTCAGACAGTGTATGGCCCAGGGTACCATGTCCTCTAGAAAGAATATTAGGTTAGAAAGAGGAACAACATGCAAATCAACCTCAGAGTTAGTTACAGGTTGTGATTCCCAAATTATCATTGTGAAACATGGTGTTTATTACAAATTCATATTCCTGAGGCCTACCACAGATTGCTGAATTGAATCTTTGAGGTTATTATAACAGTTTGCATATCCATGCAGCATGTGTACTTATAGGCATAATCAAGTTTTATTTATCTTTTAAAAATTTATTTTTCAATTACAGATGACATACAATATTATATTAATTTCAGGTGTACAACATAATGATTAGACATTTATATTTCTTACAAAGATCACTGTGATAAATCTAGTACCCATCTGACACGATACACAGTTATTATATACTAGAGACCCAGTGCACAAAATTTCGTGCACTGGGGGGTTGCGGGGGGCGGGTCCCTAAGCCTGGCCTGTGCCCTCTCTCAGTCCTGGACCGCTCGGGGGATGTCCAACTGCCTGCTTAAACCTGGGTAGTGGGCCTAAGCTGGCAGTCGGACATCCCTCTCGCAGTTTGGCACCCCTCGCTCCTTACCACCTGCCTGCTCACTGCTTCTTACCACTCGGCTCACTGCTCCTTAGCACTGCTGTGGAGGCAGGAGAGGCTCCTGCTACTGCTGCTGCGCTCGCCAGCTGTGAGCCCCACTTCTGGCTGAGCAGCGCTCCCCCTGTGAGAGCGCACTGACCACCAGGGGGCAGCTCCTGTGTTACAGTTTGGCACCTCTTGCTCCTTACCAACTGCCTGCTCACTGCTTCTTACCACTCGGCTCACTGCTCCTTAGCACTGCTGTGGAGGCAGGAGAGGCTCCTGCTACTGCTGCTGCGCTCGCCAGCTGTGAGCCCCACTTCTGGCTGAGCAGCGCTCCCCCTGTGAGAGCGCACTGACCACCAGGGGGCAGCTCCTGTGTTGAGCGTCTGCCCCATGGTGATCAGTATGCGTCATAGTGACCAGTCGTTCTGCCATTTGGTCGATTTGCATATTAGGCTTTTATTATATAGGATTATTGACTGTATTCACCACGCTCTACTTTTCATCCCCATGATTATTTTTATAACTGGCAATTTGTACTTTTTAATCCCTTCCACGTTTTTAACCGCCCCCCCACGCCCCCCCCCCAAAAAATCTGGCAAACATAAAAATGTTCTTTGTATGTATGAGTTTAAGTGTTATTTATCTTTGTAATTCCCCTTGCCCTGGCAAATTGATCACGGGACTAAATGAATGAAGGAATGAACAAGTGAATGAATAAATGAGGGGATGCACTGTTACTGGGATGGATGCTGCTGGAACCGGGTGGAGACGGAGAGGCAGGTAGAAGTGATAGTGTGATTAGGAAGGACTGCATGCCACCTGTGGCAGGTCGGCTGAGGGGTCAGGGCTCACTGGGCTGTGACCAAGAATTCTGACCAGGGTGTGATTTTCCTCTGCCTAAATTAGAGGCGGTCTTTAGCATCACAATTTTAATAATAATAAAAAAAAGTTTTAAAAAATTTCAACCTTACTAATTAGCACATTTTATTTGGCCCAAATGAGATTCCCTGAAAGTGTGATTTGGAAAAAAAAAAATCTGTGGGGGAGATGGAGGAACTCTGGCTGCATTGTTTTCCATGTTGATTTCCTGGTGCCCTGGTGCGCTGCCTCGGATTCCTTATACTTTCACTCATTCACTCACCTTCGTGTATCCAGTGCACCTTTTTGATTCCCTGCTGTGTACTTGGCTCCATCCTAAGCATTGAGGAGTCAAAGGTGACCAAGGCAGCCTGAGTGTAGTTAGAGGGAAAGCGTGCTGCATTGTTCTGTAATCCATGCATGTGCAGAGCTGCGTCAGCAGTGGGGAGCCGGAGCCGGAGCTGGGGCCTGGACGCCCTGCAGGAGCTGCCGGAGCTACCTGCCCTGGGAGGTGGCGGCTCTGTGCTAACAAACCCTTCAAAGCAGGGAAGGGTTGTTTAACAAAAAGAAGGCTGTCTTAGGGCCAAGTGGTCAATACAAGTTCAACAGGTAAAATGCTGCCCTCTGCTGGAGAGCCACAGAAATGCAGAGTTCAGAGTGTTCAGGTCTTAGAACCTCTATAGGCCAACCCATAGGCCATCGTCTCCTGTAAGAGACCTGGAGTAGGTGTGTAAAAGCCCCGGACTGGAGTCCATGGTTTTTATCTGAACTCCATCTCTGCCACCTTCCACCTCTAGGGCAGGGCACGTAACCCCTCTGTGCTGCTTTTCCTTGTTGGTGAAATGGGTAACAGTACAAATGAACCATTGCATGTGAGGAATGTTAATGCAGTGCTGGATAGTGAGCACTAGGGGAGTTATTTATGTTAAAGGATGTCTGCACTGAAAGCTGGAAATGAGGTCTGAGCCCCCTGAGTGACCCAGGGGATCCCCTGAGAGCCAGCCCACTGTGGTCTGGACTTCCCGGCCGAGTTCACGGGAACGTTGCTTTCTCTGCTTCAGTCTCCCTCGAGAACGTCTTGCTGGACGTGAAGGAGCTGCAGAGGGGCATGGACCTGACCAAGCGGGAGTACACCATGCACGACCACAACACGCTGCTGAAGGACTTCATCCTCAGCAACGAGGGGAGGCTGAAGAAGCTGCAGGACGACGCCAAGATCGCGCAGGTCGGTACCTGCGCCCTCGACCCCACAAAGAAGTGGTGGGGTCCCTCAAGGCCACCTGGGGGAGCTGGCCCCGGACTTTAGGGGAAATTGCCCTCTGTCTGCTGAGGGTAGAATTCTTATGTAGCTCGTGGTTATTGGGGAGGGAGTGTCTTTTTGAATATTGTACCTGGAAGGGCTCCTGTTCCTGTTCGTTGACCTCTCTAATTTGGGGGTTCATCCTCTTGGGTAGAGGCCCCCCTTCCTCTCCTCATCCCCTGCCAGGCTCCCTGTATGTGAGTCCTGTGTTCAGATCAGCCCACACGTGTCAGGCTATGCTCAGCAAAGCAGTGTCCCCAGTGCGTTGGGTTTCTGTAGGCCTCTGGCCTTGAAGTCTTACACACACTGGGCAGGCAGTCTGCACACGTGAGAAACAGCCAAGGAGAGCAGAGCATTGTGGGAACTCCGCAAGTGGACGGGGTTGATGGCTCCCATTTGAGGCTGGCCACCTTGGGTCCCGGAAGACTCAAGCAGACCTGGAGCGTCCTGATGTGGGGCTCCTTACGGAGCAGTGCAGCAACGGGTGGGGATTTTAAGTTTGGGTGACTTCTAAGATCCCGTTGGTTTTAAGTTCTGCCATGGCCTTAGGAAGCTCTTGAGAGGAATAGAATATTTGTGTGTATGGTAGCGTGAAGGTGTGTGTGTACGTGTGTGTGTGTGTGTGTGTGTGTAGGTATGTATATGTGTGTGGGTAGGTGTGTGGAGATGTGTGTGTAGGTCTGTGTGTAGGTCTGTGTATGTGGAGGTGTGTGGAGGTGTGGAGGTGTGTGTGTGGAGGTGTGTGTGTGGAGATGTGTGTGGAAGTGTGTGTGTGTGTGGAGGTGTGTGTGTGTGTGTGGAAGTGTGTGTGTGTGGAGGTGTGTGTGTGTGGAGGTGTGTGTGTGGAGGTGTGGGTGTGGAGGTGTGGGTGTGGAGGTGTGTGTGTGTGTGGAGGTGTGTGGAGATGTGTGTGGAAGTGTGTGTGTGTGTGGAGGTGTGTGTGTGGAGGTGTGGGTGTGGAGGTGTGGGTGTGGAGGTGTGTGTGTGTGTGGAGGTGTGTGGAGATGTGTGTGGAAGTGTGTGTGTGTGTGGAGGTGTGTGTGTGGAGGTGTGGGTGTGGAGGTGTGGGTGTGGAGGTGTGTGTGTGTGTGGAGGTGTGTGGAGATGTGTGTGGAAGTGTGTGTGTGTGTGGAGGTGTGTGTGTGGAGGTGTGGGTGTGGAGGTGTGGGTGTGGAGGTGTGTGTGTGTGTGGAGGTGTGTGGAGATGTGTGTGGAAGTGTGTGTGTGTGTGGAGGTGTGTGTGTGGAGGTGTGGGTGTGGAGGTGTGGGTGTGGAGGTGTGTGTGTGTGTGGAGGTGTGTGGAGATGTGTGTGGAAGTGTGTGTGTGTGTGGAGGTGTGTGTGTGGAGGTGTGGGTGTGGAGGTGTGGGTGTGGAGGTGTGTGTGTGTGTGGAGGTGTGTGGAGATGTGTGTGGAAGTGTGTGTGTGTGTGGAGGTGTGTGTGTGGAGGTGTGGGTGTGGAGGTGTGGGTGTGGAGGTGTGTGTGTGTGTGGAGGTGTGTGGAGATGTGTGTGGAAGTGTGTGTGTGTGTGGAGGTGTGTGTGTGGAGGTGTGGGTGTGGAGGTGTGGGTGTGGAGGTGTGTGTGTGTGTGGAGGTGTGTGGAGATGTGTGTGGAAGTGTGTGTGTGTGTGGAGGTGTGTGTGTGGAGGTGTGGGTGTGGAGGTGTGGGTGTGGAGGTGTGTGTGTGTGTGGAGGTGTGTGGAGATGTGTGTGGAAGTGTGTGTGTGTGTGGAGGTGTGTGTGTGGAGGTGTGGGTGTGGAGGTGTGGGTGTGGAGGTGTGTGTGTGTGTGGAGGTGTGTGGAGATGTGTGTGGAAGTGTGTGTGTGTGTGGAGGTGTGTGTGTGGAGGTGTGGGTGTGGAGGTGTGGGTGTGGAGGTGTGTGTGTGTGTGGAGGTGTGTGTGTGGAGGTGTGTGTGTGTGGAGGTGTGTGGAAGGGGCAGGTTCCCAGAGATGGATCCTGTGGGCCCCGCTCACTCTGGCTGCCTCTGACCGGCAGGGGCGGAAACATGGGCTGCTGTGGCAGGTGGGAGCACAGGGACGGGGATCGGCGGGAGCCACTGTCATCACCCTGCTTCGCGGCAGCTCTTTATCTGAGCGTCACGTTCAGTTGCTGGGACTGATGGAGTGAAGGGAAGTTTGCTTTTCCGCAGGACGCCTTTGATGATGTGGTGAAGTATTTTGGAGAAAACCCCAAGACGACGCCGCCCTCTGTCTTCTTCCCTGTGTTTGTCCGGTTTGTGAAGGCCTACAAGGTAACCGGGAGCAGGTGCCTGGCCTTGTGTCCCAGGCGGGCGCCCTCCAGAGCCGCCCTGGTCTCAGCGGCTGTTTGGGCAGCAGTCTCCGGCTGGGGAGGCCGTGTTCCTGGGGCCGCGGCCCATCAGGCTCCCGGTGTCCTCCCAGCCAGCCAGGCTCAGCCTGAAAACACAGCATGGCTGCTCCTTGGGGCAAGCGAGATGCTCCACCACCGTGGCTGCCTCGTTGACCTTTCACCCTCACAGGCATGTTAAAGGGCTTAGAAAACCCAGGCCTCCCCCAGGGGACTGAGCCCTGGCCTGTGGCCAAGGTCAGGAATCGCCTGCCCGTGGGTCCTGCCCAGGCTTCCGGCGTCCAGACCAGCATTTCTCTGTGCGCTGAGGGGTGGCGCTCGGGAGGGCGGTTGCTCTGCTTCTTCATGTGGACGAACAGTGGCCGGCCCTTTAAATGGGAGGCTCTCTTTGACCGAACCCAGGCTCTCGTCTTGAAAAAGCCTATGACCCAAAGGGGCCTGTGTCAGGAGAATTTGTCCCTGGAGCTAGAGTGACAAGGAGGGCGTTAGGGGATTGCAGTGCCGCGGGAGACCCTGCATCCCGTGTTCTCCAGGCTGGTCTGCGTATACATACCCTTGGTAGTGTTGGCGGAGGCAGGAGGGAGTGTGGCTGTGAAGGGAGGGGGGACGTGTCAGGATACCTTTCTGAGAAATATCCTATTGGAAGTAGTAGGTCACTTCCGCAGCCCCAAGAGGCTGCTGGCTTTGGAGAACCATCCTGGGGCCTTTTACCGAGACTCAAAGATCCCAGTCTGTAGGGATCTCTTCTCAGCGTGGCCTCGTGTCGCGGTGACATTACGAGCTGTGTGCAGATGGAGAATGCCCTTGGAAGTGAGGATGACCCAAGCCCAGCACTAAGTCCTTGTGCAGGCCGCAGAGCCACGCGCCCTGAGGTCGCTGTCAGCGGCTGCTGACTGGTGCCGGGGCCAGGTGGCTCCCCTCATGTGCTGGGGCCACCTTTTTTCCTACAGAAGAAGTTATAAGCCTGAGGTCTAAAGAGAAAATATGCTGGGGACACGTGTAGAGCAGAGGAAAAGGAGAAGCTGCTCTTGGCGGGGGGGGCGGGGGGTGCCACAGGCCATGCCTGTCGGGGTGCCCCATCCACAGCACTTCGCCCTGGGGTCCTGTCAGCTGGCGCCACCGGACACTCGTCAGGCAGTGACGTCATAGGATGTGTTACCTGCCCTGGATGTCGCTTAACAACCTGCCAGCCTGACCCAGACCCGGGTGTTGTGTGTGGGGAGTGGGGTTGTAGGTTGTCATCCCTCCTTTCCCTTCTCAAGTTCCATCAACATGAAACTTAAGAGGCATCAAGCCCTGGCTGGTTTGGCTCGGAGGATAGAGCGTCGGCCTGCAGACTGAAGGGTCCCGGGTTCGATTCCGGTCAAGGGCACATGCCTGGGTTGCAGGCTCGATCCCCAGTAGGGGGCATGCAAGAGGCAGCCAATCAATGATTCTCTATCATCCTGGATGTTTCTATCTCCCTTTCCCTTCCTCTTTGAAATCAATAAAATATATATTTTTTTAAAAAAAAAGAGGCATCAAATGTAAACTTTCCTCTGATACCAGCTGGATTGGAGGAAGTGTGTGTATCTGTGAGCTGACACTCAGCCTCAGTTAGATGACTTACCCAGTTCCCAGCTGTTAGGAGTCTCATTAGGGAGGCTGACTTCAGAAGAGAGGATGCGGGAGGGCTGAGTTGACATGAGCCTGTTTTATTTCTTGTCCTAAATCGATCGGACTAGTGACTCTGCCTCCCTTGGGAAGGAGCGAGCTGTGGGCAGAACCTAAGAGTGTCACTGGGTGAGGCCCCTGGAGGAGACGCAAGGAAAGGAATGGAGGTCTCCCCCTGACAGTGGGATCCGGAAAGGACTCTGGATGGGGTAACTTTGAGCTACTCGATTTTGAAGAGGTGTCATAGAGACACAGGGAAACCCCAAGCCCGTGTTACGTACAGGCACCAAATGTAGATCTGACCCTTCTTCGCTTACTCTAATTCCTGGCTCACCGAGGATTCTCTCAGAATGACTTTTTAGACTCTTGACTGCTGTCATTTCCACTGACGTGTCCTTGATTCTTTTGACTTGATCCAGCAAGCGGAGGAGGAGAACGAGCTGAGGAAGAAGCAGGAACAGGCGCTCATGGAGAAGCTCCTGGAGCAGGAAGCTCTGCTGGAGCAGCAGGACCCAAAGGTGAGGGTGCCTGGCCCTGCCCTGGAGGCTCCTGGGGCGAGCATAAGAGACGGGCAGCAAGCCAGGCTTGCCCAAGACCCTTGCCGCTTCCTCCTAGGGCCCCGCAACTCGGCAACTGGACATTTGCCCATTCATTACTTTGTTCAGCAAAAACTTGAGTGAGGCTAAGAGCATGTTTGCGTAGCATTCCTGTTTACAGAGATCTGGGACGCAAAGCTTAGCTCGTATACACTACAGAGAGGCCGTGTCGGATGATTGCACTGCTTGTGTCCAGGGAAGGCTTCATGGGGATGCCACTAGTGCTGGCCTTGCTGGCTGTGGGGCTTTGCCAGGAAGAATGGGGTTGGGGGGTTTTCCGTGAAGGGAAGCATCGTAGGTAAAGATCATAAAAGGCCGCAGGTCAAAGCGTTCTTCATCTTGATCCTCTGCAGCCAAGTTTAAGAAGTCAGTGGTTCTCACCATAGGACCCAACCTTCCCATTGCCGCCGGCTGGACTTTTGTGTTCCTCAGTGAGTTTGTTTTCTTCCCAGAAGCTTTCTGTGTTCCTCAGGTTGAGCACAATGTGGGCTGGTGCTGCTTGTGTGTTTGGTGGAGGCTCAGACACATTTTGGATTTTCTCCAACCTCCGATGGGTGCTGGTCCCACTAATCTCTGCCTTGCTTCTTTCTTCTCAGTCTCCTTCTCACAAATCAAAGAGGCAGCAGCAAGAATTAATTGCGGAATTAAGAAGGCGGCAAGTTAAAGATAACAGACATGTGTACGAAGGGAAGGATGGTGCCATTGAAGATATTATCACAGGTAAAGGATACTTCCTCGTGGCGGCCCGTGGAGATCCCGCTGGCCTCACCGTGCCGGCCGCTTGCAGATTTCGCTGCTGCTTGTCCAGGGTTTCCAGTTCTTCAGTGACTTTAATCAGACCCAGAATTGTGCAGAGACTCTGCTAGTGTTTGAAGTATATTATAGTAGCCCGTGTACTGCCTGTCAGAGAAGCCCACAAGCTCTCTGAAAAATATCATTTCTCAATATCATTGGGGGGAAATCTGATTTCTCAATATCATTGGGGGGGAAATCTGATTTCTCAATATCATTGGGGGGGAAATCTGATTTCTCAATATCATTGGGGGGGAAATCTGATTTCTCAATATCATTGGAACCCTTTAGATTTCACCAGGGCTCCTTCTCCTAACGGTTTTCCATTGTCTTCCATTTTCCCGTGCTCCATTTCCTTCCTCTCGGCCACTCCTTCCCTGATTGATAAAGGCTATGGCAAGACCCATTCGAGGTCTGTACTAACACTAACCACAGTCATTGCAGATGTCTCCAACTTGCTCTGTAACAGCCTCTCCACTCCTTCCAGGGAACTGAAGACAAGCGTGAATCCGGGGCTGGTGCTTCCATTCAGAAGGGCCAGTGGGCTTCCAGCCCAGGGCTGGGGAAGGGCTCCTTGTCAGCCAAGAACGGTGCCTGACCCAGCTTGGTTCTTGCTGATTAAGTCGTAGCCTAATGCTCTCTGCTGGAACCAATTCTGTAGAGTTTCTGCCTTCCCTCTCAGCAGATCAGACAGCAATTTGGGCCACTGGCTTGTGGCCATGGCTGGAAGTGACGTCTCTTTCATGTCTGTTGCATGTGGACCCTATTTATCAGCTTCCAAGATGCTTAAACTTTTTATTGTGAGAAATATTTTAAATATGAAAAAGTGTGGAGAATGTATGATGCGTTCTCATGTACCCACCACCCATTTACAATTTTTAGCTCAGGACCAGCCAGTCTTATTACATGCCTGCTTCTACCTACTCCCCATCCCCAACCTCTGGGATTATTGTGAGGCAATTCCAGGACAAACAGTTTCATGTGGAAATATTTCAGTATGAACCTTCGAAAGATAAGGACTCTTTAATAAAGCAAACATGCCCACAGCTCCATTACCAGACACCTCCTCAACTATTCCTTGATATAAAATATCTAGTCATTATTCATATTTCCCCAACTGTCCTAGTTTTTACAAACTCTTAGACTTTTTTAATTCTTCCACTTTTGACGTCTCATCTCTTGTTAAAGCTTAGTCAGCATTGTAAATAAGGATCCCAAACTGCGGAAACCACAAATTTTTCCACCCGCTCAGACCCAAGGCAATAAAATGCTAAAACGGAAGTCAACAAGGAGTCCCTTGCCCAGAGTTAAACGCAGAGTAAGTTCTGAGAGGCTGGCGAAGGTGCCGTGTCTGAACACGGTACAGACGTATTCTGTGCGTACCTGCCTGCCGGTACCTCAGGTTCCCCCTGCAGGGGTCTGTGGCTGCTCCCAGATAAAGCCCCTGTGGTTTAGCGTCTCTCCTGAGGGAGAAGCTCTGCTCTGAGCAGGACCAGGAACGGACCTCCTCGGGTAAACGCCTCCGGCCCTCAGTGCTGCCGGATTAACCTGTTACAGAGAAGCATCCAGCCTTGCACATTGAGAACTTGGGTTCCTTTTCATTAGTCTGTTCTCCATCTCAGTGACACCTGGCTTGTAAACTGAGCAAAACGTATAGTTTTTATTCGCCTGACCTAATCATTGATCTGCCGTGGGAGGGGACAGTGCGTATCTGCCTATGGAGCGTTCCTTACTGTCCTCGGGAGGGTTTCCATTTTGTAACCCACGACCCAGCCCAGAGTGAGTAACTTAGATTTGATGAGCTCACTTGGGTATGTTGCTGCCGTCCCCCTTTCCTTCCTCCCCCCGCCCTCCCTGGGTATGATTAACAAAGCACTAACTGTGTACTAATGCGATAGATCTTGGCTTCTTACTCTCTTCTGTTTGTCCTGTTTGGCTGTCGTTTTCGATGCAGTGCTGAAGACTGTGCCCTTTACTGCTCGCACCGCCAAGCGTGGCTCTCGGTTTTTCTGCGAACCTGTTCTCACTGAGGAATACCATTACTAAACTATTACTCTTTCTCACCTGATGCTCTGAAAAAGGTTGCTACAGATTTTTTTTACCTATCACCCTTGTATGTCTGTCTGTCCGTACCAGCATGGAACTGCCATCTCCACGTGTTGTGTCGTATGTCGTCTTCATGCTGCACGGTTTTGCATTTCAGCCGTAACTGCTTTCTCACTGCCACTCTCAATACATCTGAATCCACATTGCTGTGACAGTCTGGGTGTGCGTGAGTTGAATGAATAGAATTGCTTGCAGAAATTTTCAGAAAAGTAGTAAATAGAGCACTCCTTTGAGAATCAGGATTGGGTCCCACTAGGTTGCTTATTAAGATTTTTGGACTAATATATTTGAACAAAAACTAATCGTCATTAATAATAATAGCTACTATACCTAACATTTATTGAGTGCGCACTGTGTTCTAACAGGTTTACAGATATTAAACCAGCCTTTATTTTGTACTCGTTTCCCATGCTTTGATTGTATACAGCAAGCATGTCAAACTCAAAGGCTAACCACAGGCCAAATAAACGAGGCATGCGGCCCTCGAATTTGACATGCTTGGTATATAGGCACTCAGAATGCAAAGTGCTCTAACTTGCAAAATGATTTTCAGAAGGAACTGTGAACTATGCACAGCTGTAAACTTGGCCTTAAGGGTTTTATGCATGATAGTCATCATCCACAGTGTCATAGGGAACATGGTACGAGCTTAACCCAGAGAGGCCTTTGACCTAGAAGCCTGTATAAGCTGACATAAGGCAATCCATAGCTTTATACCCACCCCTCTTCCCTCTGAGTTCAGTAATCAGCAGTTCCGTGTTGCAGTAAGGCTGAGGCAGGAGGTGAAAACCAAGGCTCAGGAGCCCCTCACTGTCTCATCTTGTTCATGCGACTTCACTATGTTCCATGTCAAACCAGGGCATTTCTTCTGTGATGAGATTATATCTGGGCCTGCTTCTTTGGTCAGGATGGTGGCACCAGAAATAGCAATTACCTATCATCGGAAAATGCCACTGAATTAAAAAAAAAGAGAAAGATAAAGTATTCCCAAGAAGTCACGGCCTGGGTATAGATCCCGATGCCTGGATAAGGAACAAACTTCTCTGCAGTGCCCGGCTGACTAGAGAAGAGACTAGGGCTGCACACAGTCTCATTGGCCATTGCTGTGGTTGGACTCCTGTGCCGACATTGACGTGGAACTGCTGCGTGTTTATTTTGTGGCATGAACTCCTCTGTAATCACCTTATGTGTATGTTCCTCTGTCTCTGAAGATGTGAAAGGATGTGGTGTGTGGTTCCTGCTCTGAGTGTACTTACCCACCAGTGCTTATTAACAAGGCTAGAAACTGTTACCTCCTTGGCTATTGTTGACAGTCAGTGTTGCTGTTGGACTGTCATTCTGGAGCCAGACTTCAAAGCAGCTTGGATCTGGGTGGTCAGCGACCCGGATGGGAAGAACGCTCATCTTCTCCCGTTTTATCTAACAACCTCTTGTAGTGATGGCCTCCCACCCTCACCCTCTGTTGGCTGACATGCCCGGGAATGTGAAGCACTAAGTTGAATTGCTTTTCATTTTCATCCCATTTTTATTTAACCATCATTTTGTGTTTTTGTTTTTTTTTCTGTTTAGCTTTAAAGAAGAATAATATCACTAAATTTCCAAATGTTCACTCGAGGGTAAGGATTTCTTCTAGCACACCGGTGGTGGAGGATACACAGAGCTGGCAAGCATCACTTTTTACTTAGCTTCCTCCTCTCTCTGTATGCAGATCAGTGGTTTCAATCTATGGCCCAGGGTAATACTGGTGAGAGTCTACCAGGGAGGTCTTTGTACCTCACTATCAATGATGTGAGGCCAGGCCTCTCTGTTGGACTCTTTCTGGCCTGCTTCCGTATTCTCACATATGATGGCTTGGGCAAGGGTTTTTGCTGATTATTGATTGCTTTGGGTGGTAGGCTGTCCCTTACCCCCTTCTTAGCCTTTGAGTTATTCAGTTAACTCCATTTTTATCTGAAGAAATCGAGAGCCAGTCCTGGCCAGAGAACACGATCTGTAGCCTTTGGAGAAGGATTAGGATCTTTAAAATTAATTGTTCGGAGGGCTTAGGAATCAGAGAGGCAGGTCCCTGTGTGCCCTTAGCCAGAAGTGGGATTCTAGCCTTCCTACCACTCTGTGCCAGGAAGCAGTCTCCGGAGGATCAGGGTATGCAAACCTGTGCTTTGCTTGCACTTAGGAGTAGGGCAGGGTCACAAAGCCCAACAAGCCCAGAGCTGGTGGGCACTGTGCGGAAGGAGGGCACCGTCTTGCACTCGGCTCCAGCTTGTGTTTGCCTGCTGAGAGTTTGGGCCCAGTATTGCCAGATCCTCCAGTTTTCCAACCGAAGTCAGAAACCTTGACTTTTATGTCAATTACCAGTTTAAATATCAGGCAACTGTACTTAAAAATGTAAGTCAAAGTCAAACATCCTATTGTTTTTGTGTTTCCCCTTCTAAAGGTAGAATGTTCCCTAACAGAAATAAAAAGTACTAAATTAATAAAAGGGAAATGTATAAGCAAAACAAGGGGAAGAAGTATGAAGCCTGCTTTATTTTTCCCTATATCCTGACTCCATCAAAAGGAAAGCATGCTTCATACTTATTACTCAAATAAAATTCCTCTTGTTCATCTCACGTTATCCCTCCAGAGCAATGCCTGCTTGAACTAACATGCAACGAGGCATTTTTAAAATAATAGGCATTCCATTCTGCTATGCATTTGCAATACAAATTGGAGAATGCAGGAGGGCCCATATAACTTCTCTGCTGTAATGAAAAACCAAAAATATTGGTGGCAGGAAAGAATGTTCAGGAATAGAATATTATTTTGATTGAATGATTACTTTTATTTAGTAGTTAAATTGAGCATTGTTTCTAATTCACAAAATAAAAAACTGACCCCAGCTAATAATAGAATTTAAAAAGTGGAATCTGTGTCTGCGAACTAATTATAGTTCTTCCTTGATTAAAATTGGGATAAGATAGGACAGGACAATCGGTTTTATTAGTTTTGCAGTTTAGATTCATTATTGTTTATATTTAGGTTTCCAGAAAGAAAGAAAGAAACACCTAAGCCATAGCGATTTCCAGTTGAGGAAATGTTTCAAAGTAAGACTTCAGCTAGACCCTCTGGCCAGTGACAAAAGCACTCTTCCTCTATTCCCTAAAAGTACCAGAATCCCACCAGTATTACATCATGTTTTGACTGTAAATACAGAGGGCAAAGTTCATGTGTTTGGCTCAGATATTCTGTGGGTTTGCAGGGCCCATTAGCTGACTCTTCTACACAAGCTGCTTTGATTGGCTGCCAGCTGGCCTTGTCTTGCTTAGAAGCACAATATTAAAGGTTGCAATTCTCTCACTGATGCTCTCCTCTTTACAGATCTTAGAAACCAACCATACAGACGAGCCGATGCGGTGAGGAGAAGTGTCAGGCGGCGCTTTGATGATCAGAACTTGCGTTCTGTTAATGGTGCCGAAATAACCCTGTGAACCTGAGACCTGACTGAATGAATAGAGGGTGTGCGTGAAAGAAGCTGTCCACATGAACTTTATGTGCCGCCATTTAACTGCAGCCTTGAACATAGATGAAGTATTCTAAGGGCTCAGATTTAGCAAACATAGGAATTTTAAAATGATGGGCCCTCCTTTCAACCTTTGTTAACAAGTGCCTAAAAGTGGAAGTACCTGCTCAGATTAATCAAAGCAATAGGATTGGATTTGATTAGGTATCTTTTTACACCAGTATGTTACTCAATTTTTTAATCAAATTGTAAATTTCCTATTAACGTGTATTACCTGCCATTGTGAATGTCCCGGGATGGCCCACCCTGGTTTCCTACGAAGTTGTAAATAAGATGGATGCCTCTGTGGTGGGCTCCTTTGTTGAGATGTCTTTTAAGGAATTTTGTGTTTCAGTCATACCCACCAACTTTGTATTTTTAAGGGCTTGCAACATGGAAGGAGGAGGGAAAAGTCTCATGATAAACTTGTGTCCAAAACCAAGCCCTAGCAAAGTTCAGATAGATTGCAATTCTAGTAGCTCAGGAGGATACTCAGCGGTCTCCTTTCACAGTCTACTACCCCGTGCTAGTGTATCGTGCCCTCCCTGGGAGAGTCCCCGTATGAATGCAAGGATATGATGGCATACAAATGTTGCACAGTACTGTGTTCTTCAGCTAGGGGCAGCTTTGAAAAGATAATGCAATATATTTATTAATTAGCACTAAAATTAACATCTCAGTAATCAGTATTATGATTTCTGAGGATCATTATGGGTCAAAACTAAGAGAAATCAGTGCCTTGCTAGCCAGGAATAAGTTCACTAGTTCTATCAACAGTGCTCAAGATTACTTCTGCTGGCGGAGAAGTGTTAGTCACCCAGCCTTACTCTCCTCTGACAATCGGTTGGCTCCCCCGCCGCCCTTCTTCCTTTTGTAAGTCGGAGAAGATATATTTGGCATCATATATCAAAGCGAAAAACTTTGTATTTCCCAGATTACTTTATGAGGAATTGAATATTCATGTTGGGATAAAGCTTAAATGATATATAATGGGACTAAATGGCCAACTAAGCCACTGTTACTTTTCCTTCCTCTGGCAGGGCACTCGATCCATTCCAAAGTCAAAAACTGGACTGAAGCTAATTTGTACTTTTCATAATATACATTCTGCTTCTGGCTTACCTTCTTGGTACATCACATCAGTATATTAATTGTAAAGTTTATTGTATAGTATTTAACCACTGAATTTCTTATTTTATGTTGTGCTTATGTGAACTCCTTGGTGAAGGTCCAATTTTCCTTGGATAATGTGTAGTTATATATGATCTCTTTTTAAATGTACAGATATTTTGCTATAAAATTGGTGCAGTTTTTTATGGTTTTTACACTTAATTCCCACCTAAGCCTCTGGGTAATATTGTAAATATTGTTTAAAAATGCATCGGCCTATGCTATACAATCTGAAGGTTATTTTAACTTATAGTTTTTTTAATATATATATTTAACTACAAGGACAGTTTAGAGATCAGTTATCACATTTCACTTTAGCATACCTATTTACAGAAAGATTGCTTTTAAACAGCCACCTGCCAGCAAATTTTCATAAATGTGTACTTTAAAAAGAACATGCCAAGATTTTGTTTTTCTGTTGACTCAACATTAATTTTGACAATACCATGAGACACACAATACAAATTGGTCCTTTACCACAAGCAGCTGTTTCCCAAAGCTCAATGCTGACGAGCATATTAAACTCGCTACTATTTATTAATCTCCAAGTAGACAATAATGTTGGCATGTTCTTTTCTGTTTGTCTATTAATAGGCCTGCTTCTTAGCAATATTAGAAATGTTTTATAAAAGCAGTTCATGTTACTTTTCTGGTCTTTTCATGGCATATGAGCAAATAAAACTATTTACACCACTATCCTGTAACATGTTGTCGTCTTTCAATGGTATATTTTAGGGGTTTTGCCAGTTATCTTCTAGAAAAGGTATGTCTTGGTGCTTAAACTCAGAATCTAACTGTATTCGGTAAATTTAGTAAAATCCCTTCCTGTACACTCTTGAGCACTTGCTGTACGGGACAAAGTAACCACTTAGATTTGGGTAGTGAGGGATACAGTTCCCAAATCATACTTATTCTTTCCAGTTATCATTGTAAAGTTTAATTTATTGTTTTTAGCATATTCTTCTTAGGGAAGCAAGGAAATGTAGTATTTCAGGAAACTGTGTAAGTGGCTTGAAAATACTTCAGAGGGCTGTAAATTAATCACTTAAGAAACTGTTGTTATATTAAGTCTTTGTTCCCAACTCAGTGCCCTTTCTCTTGTACCAATATAGCTGAAACCTCACTTTAAAAAGCGGAGGGGTTTTGTTTGTTTTGTTGCAGGGCAAAGTGCTTCATGGTAAAAGAAATAAAGTCAGTATTGCACAAATTCAGGTCTTCAAACTCAAACTTCAGCAGTAAGTTCAAATGAGGCCAGATAGGGCTAGGTTTAAGGGCACTGATGCACCAGTAGCATCCATTTTGTAAGATGTTTACCAATGACCCAGAACTAAATCCCCTAGTTCCCACTCTCAAATCGCTAAACTCTAAGTCCTAATCCATTAAATTCACTGCAGTGAGTGTTCAGTGACCCTGCTGACTCAGCTGTGCTCTGCAAAGGGGGGTGACATCCACCATGGGATCTGCTGGGTCAGCACAGAATTTTACAGAACTACCTACTTGGGTACTGAAAATTATGCTTTTATAATATTGGATTTATAATTCACACATGTATTGATTTTAATATTTGATAACTCTTCTTAGCCTTATACTTATTTCCTAAATTATATCAGAAATGCCTGCAAAGATGAATCTACTATCATCCCAGTTCATAAAAAAGGATTAATATATTAGTTTCCCATTTCTTTTAAACCTAATACCCCATCTATTTCCAAGAAAAAATTTGAAGCAAAAACAAATGCATTATGAAATATTAATATACTTTTTTTGATCTTTTTATAGAGAAAAGCAGGTATTACACCGAGGAAACAGAATGTGGGCATCTAGCATCTCACAGCACAGAACTGCTGCATGAGGGGTGCTTAAAGGTAAAAGTTGACACAAAAACAACTTATTTAGTAAAAGATGTCATTGTTTTCTAATAAATTATATTTATTTACAAAAGGTCTAATTTTATATAACTGAAATTCTTTACATCAGAACAATATAGAAACAGAAAACCTGATAATTACAAACACAGAACATAGAAACCTTGTTCCCCTATTACTCACCTTTCAGAACAAGTCTTCGGTTTAGTTGTAGAGGTAAGCAAAAGACCAATACCTACCAAAAAGTTTGCAGGCATAACCAAAGGAAAAGATGTTTATAAATAGCACATTTAGATACCCCAAGGAACAGCATAAAAGGGCATCAAGAAATGGCTTAATTTTAAAAAAATAAAAAGAAGTGGCTTAGTCTGAATCTGATCTGGTTAGGCAGTCATTCTGTTTCATAGTCTATGATCGAAAATGGGTGGGGGGAGTTTAGCTAGCTGCCCTGAAATGCAAACATCAACCTTACACCTAGCACAAATGCCATTAAATTAAGTCAGTTATCAATCACTAACAATGAGATGTCTTTGAACTAGATCCTGCTGAGTCACAAAAGCAGTTTTTATATAGCAAGTTTAAAAAGATTGCAGTTACGGAATTTAGGTCAGGTAGATAAGTGAAATAAAATGGAGGGCTGGGGGAATGTGAGAGTAACAGGAGCAAAATCTTCTCACTTCCCACCTCACCATTGTCAGCTCCAATAACATTGAATACCTGTCATGTCACCATTATTCACTCCTTTGTCAAAAATAGCCTGAAAATATTAGTTCTCAGCTTGTAATTTAAATAGGAAGTTTGCTATTGTATCTCTTAGGGTTTTAAAGACCAAGTGATCTAGCTAAATGTTAATTCTTCAAATAAATTATACTTTTGAACTTCTATTATATAACATTAACTTATGAATAATTACAAAGGCAAGTTTCAAATCATTACAGGGGAAGATTTCCTTACTCAAAAATCACATGGAAGCTCTATGTTCTGACAAGCTTTTGAACTTTTCTGAAGTAATGGTTAAGGTACAGTCACTAAAACTCATGTTCAGTGCACTTCAGTTGTGTATGTGGCTTTAGTCATGGGTTAGTGTGGTTTATTGCAAAGATGCTTTTTCAAGCCCTTTAATACAGATGGTAGGTACCATGTATGCTGGCTGAGTACATCTGTCAACTAATATGTTACATTCATTCAATAGATGCCTACTATGTGCCAGGCACTGTGCTAATCAACAGAATACAGCAGTGAATAAAACTTAAATAGGAACTAGACCACCCCTGAAGTCAAAACAATTGAAAACTTAGAGCAAGGTAAGCATTAATAAGGGAAGTAAGAATTACTAGACTGGTATTCAAAACCATAGAATGAGATAAGCCTATTATTACAAGCCTATTCCAACAGTTCCATGAAAATCATTCATGATGTTACTTTGTTTCCTTTATGTGAAATCAATGCAGTTTTACCTAGAGAATGTAAAAGACTTAAAATTCTACATCATACTGAGAGAGATACATCCCTAAGGGAAAAGTCTCAAATTTAAGATATTAGGAATTAATGTGCTTTGCCTCATTTTGCTTTTAGAAATGTTTTAGTTATTAACTTTTATAAATCACACAATATACTTAAATATCCTATAAACTTTAAAAACAGCATTCATTACTCTTCTCTGGGTATTATTTGATAAGAAACCATTCTCCTAAATAACATCTTGGTTAAAAAAAAAATCTTCACATAAAAGGGGCTCCCTCTTTTTTGATGCAAAAATTAAAGTGGCTACCTAGTCAACACTCAATTGACCATACCAGAAGCATCTAAAGCTAATGCTTTTTACAAAGCCCTTTGGTAACCGGATGAAAACTGGACCTTCTTTCCAGAAATAATGTACACAAATGTTTCAGGAGATTTTAGTCTCTTCACTATGAATTAAGACTGCCTTACTCTATCTAGGCCAGAGGGGAGAAAGTCCGGCCCGAAGGCCTCATAAGGCCTATAAAATCATTTGGTCTGGCCCTGCCAAGGCATTAGGGGTGAGCTAATTAAATGTTTGGCCAAATATAGCAGGCTAATTTTTAAGTTGATAATTTTGTATGGACCTCATATGATGTTATAAATATTCAAATGTCCTTGGCAGGAAAAAGGTTCCCCACCCATGATCTAGGCCAATGGTCGGCAAACTCATTAGTCAGCAGAGCCAAATATCAACAGTACGATTGAAATTTCTTTAGAGAGCCAAATTTTTTTAACCTTAAACTATATAGGTAGGTACATTGTTATTAACTTAATTAGGGTACTCCTAAGGCTTAGGAAGAGCCACACTCAAGGGGCCAAAAAGCCGCATGTGGCTTGCAAGCCGCAGTTTGCCGACCACGGATGTAGGCCAATCCTTTTCATTTTATAGTATTATGAGGTCCAATTAGCAAAGTTATAACATGTTGATCATTTTCAGGTTTACTGGGAGGGATAAAAAGTATTTTTATTGTTGAAAAACATGAATAACCTATATGCTGAAGCTACTTTTGGGTAATAAAAAAACATCATCACTATTCTTAAAAAAAATGTGGGACTTTTTTTATTTGAAAATAATTTAAAAACGCTTGGGAAAAGTACAATGAATTCTTCATCCTTGATTGATTCAATTAACTTTTCACATAAATTCAATTTTCCCACATAGGGATTATAGACTGGGAGAAAATAAAAACATCAAATATTTGAAGTTCCTATTCTGACTATAAGTATATTAAATGTATTAGGGAATTTAATCCAATAATTCATTAATATTAATTATGAGGGAAGATGAACCCTCAACATTTGCCTTACTGAGAATTAAAAATATACATTCCCCTTATTTGAAAAGAAAAATGCTTTCCTGCTTGAACACATTTGTTCAAACCCTACTCAAACTGTTTCAACATCAAGTCTAACTGCAAGATATTTCAGCTTTTACAACCTCTATCTTTATTCTAACTGGTTAAAAACATTCACAGAACTCTAGCTTTAACAAAATCTTCCCATCATCTGTGCTTTCAGACTGGACAATATCTTTCTAGCAACTAAATCTCTTTTGATGGGATAATCAAAGGGTAGTAGACAAGGATTTTACTCACTTTAATAGCATCTTTTTAACGAGGATGTTGTATTTAGAGATGTAATTTGTTCACTAGTTTTGTTTTTAGGTTAAATAATTTTCATGGGTGAACTATAGGGAAACGTGAATTTGTATTGTCTTATAGGGATTTGAGGTTGTGACAGACAGAAGTGCAGAAATTTATTTTGAGGACATGCTAAAACACATCAATAGCTTTTTATTTAAATAGAAAAATCAAAACTTTAAAGTTGTACTTAAAAATCATTCATAGAATTAAAACATTTTACAGATTCTAAATTCTCTTGTGAAACATCACTAGTATTTCTGCCAATATCATATGCTTATATTAAAGATCCTACCACTTCCTGTCAAGTGTTAGACATGATGTCAAGTGTTAGGCATGATTGGCAATATTAACTATCATTAAAATGGGACCTCTGAAAATTAAGTCTAGGTGAATCCCTGATTAATAAGTAAGTTATGTTTTGGTTCTAATATGCAAAAGGAGACTCAAGCAAGCAACTTGGTTACTTCCCATTTTCTAAAAATAATGGTCCTCATTTTCTACAAAGTCATGTCATATTTCACAGCAGAAAAATGTCTTGGCAGGGAGAAGTTTAGAAACAACACCCTCTTCCCCTTATTTTTGAAGCATTCAACAGTGAACAGACTTAACTAAAATAGGGAGCAGAGATGGGAGTCATCCTGATTAGTCCCATTTTTCAAATTCACTAGGATGATGAAGAAAAAAA